AGGTAGTGCCTCAGCTTCCTGGTTGCCCATACCAAGGCTAGAGAAGCCTTCTCCAGCGGAGTGTAGCAGGTCTCATAATCCAACATTTTATTGCTCTAGTAGTAGATAGCCTTCTCCACTTTATCCTCAGATTCCTGTGCAAGCATGCAGCCCATTGTCGTTTCAGTCACTGATAGGTACAGAATCAACGGTTTCCCCGACTCTGGCGGCGACAACACAGGTGGGTTCTGTAAGTATTGCTTGATCTTCTCGAAAGCAACTTGGCATCGGTCATCCCATTGGAACTTCTTTCATTTCTTCAGCAGACCAAGCAATGGTTCACAAGTCAAGGTTAATTTTGCAATAAATCGTCTTATGAATTGCACTTTACCCAGAAAGCCTCACATCTCCTTTTTAGTCCTTGGTGGTGGCATTTCTAAGATGGCCTTGATTTTCGAAGGATCGACCTCGATACCCCTTTGTGTGATCAAGAACCCCAGTATTTTCCCTGCTATAACACCAAATTTACATTTTTGAGGATTCAGCCGCAACCGATACTCTCTGATCCGTTGGAAAAATTTCTGCAAGGTGGTGTAGTGGCCCTCTCTTTCTTTGGACTTGACAATCATGTCATCCACATACACCTCAACCTCTTTATGGATCATATCGTGCAAAATCGTGGTCGTAACCCGTTGATACGTAGCCCCAGCATTCTTCAGTCCAAACAGGATCACCCTATAACAATAGGTTCCCTACAGGGTGGTGAAAACAGTTTTCTTCCTGTCTTCGGGGGCCATCAAAATCTGAATGTAGCCTGAAAACCCATCCATGAATGAGAGCAGTGCATGCCTAGTAGTCAAGTCCACTAATTCGTCGATATGCGACAGAGGAAAGTCATCCTTCGGACTGGCATTATTCAAATCTCTAAAGTCCACACATGCCCGAATTATGATGTCTTTCTTTGGCACCGGAACTATATTGGCCAACCAAGTAGGGTATTCAGATGCCAGCAGCCCTGCGTCAATTTTCTTGGTGACCTCTTCTTTGATCTTCAGAGCGCAGTCCGGGGGGATCCTTCGGAGCTTCTGCTTAATAGGTCGGGCCTCTGGGTCAAGAAGGATCCGGTGTTGTACAATCTCAGGATCGATTCCAGGCATGTCTTCGTAGGACCAGGCGAAAACATCTTTGAAATCTTTTAATAAAGTGACTAAGCGCTTGCGCTCGCGCTCCTGCGTCGATCTAGACCAGCTGCGGGTCCTTCTCAATACCAACATTAATTGTGGTGATTTCATAAACCAACGGTTTTACAAAAATCTTATGCTCTTGATCAAGAAAATATTGCAAAACCGGAGGAATTTCTTCCTTGTCGTTTTCATCAAAATTTTGAAAATCCTGATTAATGCAATAAATTAAAGGCACAGAAAAGTACTCTGAAGCCACAACCATACCATTCTCATTAATAACATCCAGTCCGCCTGATTCCTCTATTACAATAGACTCAAAGGAAAAAGAAAAAGACGACCTGGACAGGATAGTGGCATCCGGGTTATCATTCCCAAGAATACCAGACTCAGACTCAGACGAGCTGAAACCTGATTCCGACTCCACAGACTCGGTGGAATCTGATTCCGGCTCACTACCTGACCCGGTGCTACTCGATAAAAAGCCTCCTCGTATTGCCAGACAAGGGAGGGTGCGATGGATGCATTAAGAATGTCCGAAGGTGGGCCCACAACCGCTTCATTCCTGATCATGAAAACTGAGAAGTTATCCCCCAAGCACTCTGGTACGATCTGAGGATCTGCGAGAAGACAAGCCAGCGCTACCCCCATCTAAATTTGTATGCTCTCGGAATCCTCCTCCTTGCACTGCTCTGCCTCAGCTGGTAAGTCTGTCTGCTCTTCGGTAACATCATCCCCGAACAATTGCAAGTCAAAGAAAATCTCAAATCCCAGCAAGCACCGCCTTTCTGCATTTAGCCATGGCTCTGGGAAGCCGCAGAATGAGATGTCTTCCCCTTCCCGGACAAAGCGTCCGTTCAGGGTCCCCTAGATAGGTCAATGCATCAATTCATAATGCTTCCCGGCCTGCTTGGCTTTGGCTCTTCCAGCCATTTCTCTCGCTTTCCTCACCCAATCCTCCTTGGTAAGCAAATAACCTAGGCCAAAGGTATATGGGTTGTGTGGCACTTCGGCCGATGCTGCAACGCCTTTCCGGCCACTTCGCCCTAATCCCATCTCGAGGATGTGCTAGAGCTTGTTCATAAGGTAGACAGACTGTGCACTGATGTATAGCCCCTCGTCAACAGCTTAGATATTCTGTACAACCCGAGCCTCAGCTAGGGTAAATCCTGACAAAAATACATCCTCCGCACCATGCTCAATAACCAGAACTAGTGTAGAAACCTATAATAACCCGACCCTCGTATATGTTTTCTGGTATGCTATAAATCCCTTACTCTGTACATTTATGTGCTTTCTGTGAAATTCCCTGGGAAATTAAACTTAGTTGGGTGAATCTTATGAGTATAAATTCATATATGTCTAAGAAGGGAAGTATTTGTTACAATTGTGATGTTCCGATCTGAAATTGAGAGTCTTAGAGACTTGCTAAGCAGAAATTGACTTTACATTTAAGTTCAGTATAATTTTTAGATCATGATAGGATTTTCTGTGAAAATCTTATTCAGAACCATTAAACTGATTGAATTTCGTCTTTATTCACCTTATATATATATATATATATCCATGTTCTTTAAACATTTGACTTAGAGCCATTATACAAATATCTCCTGAGAGAGAGAGTTAGAGACGAAGAGGGTTTGAGAGGTAGAGGAGAAGTTCTTTAAGGAAAAAGAATGGGAGGGTTTGTAAAGATTGACCCAAGGTACGTAAGAATTACTTTACATAAGCCTTTTCTTGAACATGTGTAAAAATTCCCTTCAATTGTGAGAACTAGGGTTTGTGGTGGAAATTTTGTGTGTGATACTTACTCAATTGGAAAATTGTACTTATCATTGTTTGTTTTGATGGTTAATTTGAGCTATGTGGGGGAAATTATACTTTATTCTTTGTTTTCCAAGTTGAACTCACATGGTGATATATATATATATATATTGTTCCTAAATTAATGATGGCCATCAACATGAAAGAATTGGATTGTAATTGATTGTGATTGTGAATTCAAAGTAGTTAAGGACTCAAGTACGTTTGTGATTCATCCTTATGTGATTTTGAACCATGTTCTTGTATTAAATGTACCTATTTTGGGCCTTGCCATATATTTACCAAGAGGGGTTTTTGTTGGAATTTCGGGCTGCAAACTGGGCAGAATCGCCACACGTGCGGAAAGCAGGGGATTTTGGGGATGAGGCTACTGGAAAAAAGGCACGTGCGGGACCTCACAGCCACACATGCGGGAACCACTGCCGCACATGCGGGGCTCACAGCCGCATTTACGGCCCATGCTAGAAAATTTTGTCTGCTCTATTTCACTTGGTTGACCCTATGGTGTTATTAAAATCTGTATTTGATGCCTCTTCAATGTTTGTAAATTCGTTTGTAGCGAAACGAATCAGATAATGTTTAAATCAGGAAATGAACTAATTTCTGAACTGCACGTGTATGTAGGGCATATACCGGAAGGGACTGCCGCTTCACCACAGCATTGTGAGTAATAGTACTATAGTAGCACATTTGCTTATGGTTAATAATTATTATTAACGCTCTGTTATTTGAAAATTGACTATGCTCGCCTTTATGAACGATTGGAAAATCTGTATACATTTGTAAAACTCTGGAAACACTCTGCTTTGTTGATATCTGTGCCAGAGGCCAATCTGTAAAGTCTGTTGAGCCAGAGGCCCATCTGTAAAATCTGTTGGGCCTAAGGCCAATCTGTGAAATCTGTCGGGCCAAAGGCCAATCTGTAAAACCCTTTAGGCCTAAGGTCGTTCTATATGTTACTAGGCTTCAAGTCGCTCTGTATAAAATCTGGGCCCAAGGCCGTTCTGAAATTATTTACAAAATAAGCTTAATTATATATCCTCTGCACTTATGTAAATTATAATTCAAGTTTAATCATTGAATTGTTTGAGTACTATTATTCACTAAGCTTGGCTCACCTTGTATTATGTCTGTTTCTATAGGCAATCAACCTGGAGGTCGGTCTTAGTTCAGCTTTGGACATTCCTTTTGGTCAAGCAATGTAGAGAAGCTTGTGCATTTTGTGGGGATCCCTTAATAACCCCTAGTTTGGTTCTTAATCTTTTGGTTAATGTAATTAATATGTATAACCTTCTTTTCACCAATGCTTTTGTTATACGCCCAACCATGGGGCTGGGTCTGTGCATGTGTATGTACATAACTGATTCCCAGGTGTATGTTCACTGTATGCTTATCTACCTGATGCAATGTTTGTGATCCTGGCATATTAGTGGTAGCTCAATGGATACTATTTATGATGATAATTGCTTCCGCTCAGGCCCCATATGTTATGTAAACTAAATTTTGTGTCTGTTTCAAAGTGGTCATGCCCAAACTTTTAGGGGCAGGTTTGGGGCGTGACAAGTGGTATCAGAGCACGAGTTGCTATCTCACACATGAATCCATTGAGCCTTAGGATGTCTAGAAAAGACTTTGGCATCATGCATAATATTCTGAATGCATATAGAAAGATTGATGGCAACGTTAAATGTAATCTACTAATGTTAATGATTATGATCCATGTCTATTGTATATTTCTTGTGTATATTGTAATTGATTGTCGTGTAGAATATGGTGAGAACAAGAACGAAAGACCCAGATGATTCTACTTCTTCACGGTTGGATAGAATGAAGAGAATGATAATGGAAATAGCGGAGACTCTACGACAACAATAGCAACAACCACAGCCGCCACCGCCACCACCACCGATACCTCCGCCTGTGGTACAAGATTTTCATCCTGAGGACCGAACTATCACTCTCACGAGGGAATTTAAAAAGATGAAGCCACCATCATTCAAAGGAGGAATAGAACCAATGAAAGCTAAAGCATGGGTATTGGGAATAGAAAAGTTGTTTGAAGTTTTCCCTTGTACCGAAGCCCAAAAAGTACAACTTGCTGCCTTCACTCTTGAAGACAAAGCGCGGAGGTGGTGGATGCTTACGAGAACCGTGCATCATGGCTTAACATGGGACAATTTCTTGGAACTGTTTTATGACAAGTACTTCCCCCAAAGTATGCGAGATAAGAAGGTGACAGAATTTTAAACTCTCAGACAAGGGAATAAGGCCATTGCAGAGTATGAAGCCCAATTTGCAGAACTAGTTCGGTTTGCACCTCATATGGTGGACACGGATTATAAGAAAGCACGAAAATTTGAAGTGAGATTACGGACTACTATCCTTGACCGAGTTAACATGTTGACGTTACCCACCTATGTTGATGTGTTGGAGAGGGCTGTTATAGCAGAGGGAAACATTGTTGCTTAGAATTGAATTTCGGAATGGAAAGGAAAGAGGCAGAACATTCATGTATCAAAGGGGTTAATCACTCCACCAAACAAGAAACAAAATTCAGGGACTTCTAGTACTTCCACCCTTACTCCAGACTCAACTCCTGTTTGTTCAGAATGTGGAAAGAAACACCATGGGACTTGCTATCGGTTGTCGAGAGCATGTTTTAAGTGTGGTAAAACGGGTCATCTGGTAAAGGATTGTCCTCAAAGGAATCAACAAAATGGCAATAGGGCTGCTACAAGTTCAGCAGGGGTCTACACCAGCTCCTAACACCAAGTGAGCTGCCAAGCCCGTTAACAATAAAGACGCCGCAAGACAAGGCAGGGTGCTTGCATTAGTTCCGAGAGATGTTCAAAATGCTGTAACAGTGGTGTCATGTACATTTATTGTTCACGATTATTCTGCTCATGTATTGTTTGATTCTGGCTCTACCCATTCCTTTGTGTCAAAACTATTTGCTCAAAATTTAGATAAATTTGAGGAAGTATTGTCTTATATGTTATGTGTGTCTTCACCTTTGTAAGACTCTATGATATGTACTTCTGTATATTTTGCTTGTGAACTCCTACTTGGGGATATTCGGGTATATGCCAACTTATTGCCTCTTGACATGACTCACTTCGATGTTATTCTGGGAATGGACTGGCTGAGTGACTATTGTGCAACAATTGACTGTTTGACTAAGCAAATTAGTTTCCGCCCTCCGGGACAATCAGAATTCATCTTTCAGGGACATGGAGTGACTTCTCCACCTTATTTGTTTTCTGCAGTAAAGGCTTGTAAACTAATTCAGAAGGGATGTCAGGGGTATCTATGCGGTGTTTTGGAGAGGCAAGTGGGGAATGAGAGTACTAATATGATTCCAGTTGTTTGTGAATTTCTGGATGTTTTTCCGAAAGACTTACCGGGGGAATTAGTAGACCGTGAAATCGGTTTACAATTGAAGTGGTGCCAGGAACTCAACCCCTTTCTAAGACTCCGTATAGAATGTCACCAGTTGAGATGAAGGAATTAACAGTTCAGTTACAAGAATTACTTGATAAGGGTTCATTCGTCCGAGTGTTTGTCCTTGGGGTGCACCAGTTCTGTTTGTGAAAAAGAAAGACAGAACACTCCGATTATGTATAGATTACAGGGAACTTAATAAAGTGACAATCAAGAATAAGTACCCATTACCCATTATCGATGATTTGTTTCACCAGCTACATGGGGCACAAATTTTTTCGAAAATAGATTTACGGTCCGGATACCACCAATTAAAGGTCAAAGCCGATGATGTTGAGAAACAGCTTTCCGAACTCGATACGGACATTATGAATTTCTGGTTATGCCCTTTGGAGTCACTAACGCACCAGCAGCGTTTATGGATTTGATGAATCGTGTCTTCAAGCCCTATTTGGATGAGTTTGTAGTGGTATTTATTGATGACATCCTTATTTACTCGAAGAATGCAGAAGCTCATGAGAATCATCTTCGTTTAATTCTTCAAATACTCCGAGAAAAGAAACTGTATGCAAAGCTGAAGAAATGTGAATTATGGCTACATGAGATGGCATTTTTGGGGCATGTAATAACAAAGGAAGGAGTCTCTATTGATCCACACAAAATTGCGGCGATCGTGAATTAGCCAACTCCTACCAATGTAACTGAGGTGCGTAGTTTTATGGGATTAGCCGGGTACTATAGGAGGTTTGTTCAAGATTTCTCCAAAATCGCTGTACCACTTACGCAGCTGACTCAAAAGGGAGTTGCATTTGAATGGTCAGAACAACGAGAATCTGCCTTCCGGGAATTAAAAATGAAGTTAGCTACAGCTCCAGTTCTTGCCTTACCGTCTGGAACCAATGGATTTGTGATCTACAGTGACGCTTCGTATAAAGGACTTGGCTGTGTACTTATCCAAAATGGAAGAGTTATCGCTTATGCTTCCCAATAGCTCAAACCCCATGAAAAGAATTATTCCACACATGATCTTGAGCTGGCAGCAGTGGTCTTTGCTTTGAAGATATAGCGGCATTATCTATATGGGACTACCTGTGAAGTTTATACTGATCATAAGAGCCTCAAGTACCTTTTTATGCAAAAGGAGTTGAATATGCGATAGCGATGGTTGGAACTTATTAAGGATTATGATTTGCAGATCCATTACCATCCTGGTAAAGCCAATACAGTTGTAAACGCACTAAGCTGGAAAGGCACGGGGAATTTGGCAAATTTACCTACGAAACAAAGAGAGTTATTGGTTAAATTGGATAAAATGAATGTTAACCTTGTGGTGCATGGACGGGAGGCCATAATAGCAACAACGATGGCCCAACCAACATTAATTAAAGAAATCAAACTACGTCAGATGGAGGATGAAACTCTGAAGAGGATATGTGATGAGCTAGAGACAAAACCGAGATCGGGATTCAATTTGATGAATTCAGTACTCAAATTCCAAGGTAGATTATGTGTTCCCAATGTGTCAGGAATTAGGCAGAAATTGATGGGAGAAGCACATGCCTCGAGATTATCATTGCATCCTGGAAGCACTAAGATGTATCTGGATTTAAAACAAAATTTTTGCTGGCCAAGTATGAAAAAGGAAATCGCGGATTTCGTCTCCAAGTGTTTGCAATGTCAGCAAGTAAAGGCAGGGCATCAGAGACCAGCAAGATTATTGTAACCCCTTCCAATCCCGGAATGGAAGTGGGAACATCTGACCATGGATTTTGTTATAGGGCTACCACGGACTTCTCGGGGTATGAATTATGTATGGGTCATTGTAGACCGGTTAACTAAGTCCGCCCATTTCCTACCTGTGAAAACTCAGTACAATGCGGATGAACTTGCTGTAATCTATGTAAATGAAATTGTGAGACTCCATGGTGTTCCAGTTTCAATAGTATCAGATAAAGATCCAAAGTTTGTATCTAGATTCTGGCAGAGTCTGCAGGAAGCAATGGGTACAGAATTAAAGTTTAGCACAGCTTTCCACCCTCAGACAGACGGACAATCCGAGAGAACGATACAGACATTGGAATATATGCTCCGAATGTGTGTTTTGGATTTCCAAGAAAGTTGGGAAACTCACCTACCGTTGGTAGAGTTCACGTATAATAATAGTTATCATTTGAGTATTGGGATGGCGCCCTATGAAGCTCTGTATAGGAAACCATGTCGCTCCCCCGTGTGTTGGACTGAAGTTGGAGACAGGGCATTGTTAGGGCCTAAACTTGTTTAACTGACAACTGAAAAGATTAGGACTATTCGAGGAAGACTAAAAACTGCCCAAAGTAGACAAAAGAGTTATGCGGACAACCGACGAAGAAATTTGGAATTTGAAGTGGATAGTCATGTTTTTGTGAAAGTTACCCCGATGAATGGACATCCAAGATTTGGGAAAAAGGGTAAGTTAACACCCCGATATGTTGGTTCATTTCAAATTTTGGAGAGAGTGGGTCCGGTAGCTTACCAAGTTGCTCTTCCGCCTAGTATGAGTCAAGTACATAATGTGTTCCATGTCTCTATGCTTCGAGGATATCTTCTGGATCCATCTCATGTTAATGACTACCACCAAATCATTCTGGATGATAAGTTGACATATGAAGAGAAACCAATTCAAATTCTGGATCAACAAGTGAAACAGTTACGGAATCGAGAAATTCCAATGGTAAAGGTTGAGTGGCAAGAACATTACGGAACTGAAGCGACTTGGGAAAAAGAAGAGGAAATGCAACACCAGTATCCGCATCTGTTTCTATCATAAGGTAAAGCAAGTTTGAGGGACCAAACTTATTTAAAGGGGGGAGAGTGTAATAACCCGACCCTCGTATATGTTTTCTGGTATGCTATTAGTCCCTTACTCTGTACATTTATGTGCTTGCTATGAAATTCCCTGGGAAATTAAACTTAGTTGGGTGAATCTTATGAATATAAATTCATATCTGTCTAAAAAGGGAAGTATCTGTTACAATTGTGATGTTCCGATCTGAAATTGAGAGTCTTAGAGACTTGCTAATCAAAAGTTGACTTTACATTTAAGTTCAGTATAATTTTTAGATCATGATAGGATTTTTTGTGAAAATCTGATTCGGAACCATTAAACTGATTGAATTTCGTCTTCATTCACCTTATAAATATATATATATATATATGTTCTTTAAACATTTGATTTAGTTCCATTATACAAATGTCTCCTCAGAGAGAGAGTTAGGGAAGAAGAGGATTTCAGAGGTAGAGGAGAAGTTCTTCAAGGAAAAAGATTGGGAGGGTTTGTAAAGATTGACCCAAGGTATGTAAGAATTACTTTACATAAGCCTTTTCTTGAACATGTGTAAGAATTCCCTTCAATTGTGAGAACTAGGGTTTGTGGTGGAAATTTTGTGTGTGATGCTTACTCAATTGGAAAATTGTACTTATCATTGTTTGTTTTGGAGGTTAATTTGAGCTATGTGGGGGAAATTATACTTTATTCTTTGTTTTCCAAGTTGAACTCACATGGTGATATATATATTGTTCCTATATTAATGATGGCCATCAACATGAAAGAATTGGATTGTAATTGATTGTGATTGTGAATTCAAAGTAGTTAAGGACTCAAGTAAGTTTGTGATTCATCCTTACGTGATTTTGAACCATGTTCTTGTATTAAATGTACCTATTTTGGGCCTTGCTATATATTTACCAAGAGGGGTTTTTGTTGGAATTTCGGGCTGCAAAATGGGCAGAATCGCCACACGTACGGGGCTTACAGCCGCACGTGCGGGTCTCACAGCTGCACGTGCGGAAAGCAGGGGATTTTGGGGCTGAGGCTACTGGAAAAAAGGCACGTGCGGGACCTCACAACCGCACATGCAGGAAACACTGCCGTACATGCGGGGCTCACAGCCACACGTGCGGCCCTTGTTGGAAAATTTTGTTTGCTCTGTTTCACCTGTTTAACCCTCTGGTGTTACTAAAATTTGTATTTGACGCCTCTTCAGTGTTTG